TATATACAGGTTTTATCAGTTAAAATCATAACTTGTTTCATGAAGGACGACACGGCCACAATGGACAGAGGAGGGTGTGTATGGGTAACTAGTCAAGGCCCTTATACTCGGGTCAGGTGTGTCCGATCCGACCGGACTGGTAGTGTGTAATAACATGTAGGTATTTCATTTAAAATCAACACAGTGAAATCGTATGCGATACTAGTGAAATATGATGACCTTTGAGGTCATGATGGCGGTATGAAAAGGGAAAGGTGGAACTTACGATTAAAAAAACAAAATACTTATGAAACGATTTTACTTATCGAAGATATAGATATTTTGGACTAAATCTGAGAAAGTCCAATATAAAGTATGAATAGACGATGAAGATTTAGATATGGCGAAAGCCCCGCATGTCAAGGTTACAACCAAGTGGAAAAGGTTCTCTCTTAGATATTGGACATAAGGACAAACGTATTTGGGTTGTTCCAAAATGAGTCACGAATTGAGAATAACCATTATGATATACCATATATCGTAGGAGATTTTTTCTCTTGAAAAGTATATCAACTTTAAAGTGATGGTTATCCAAAAGTAGTTAGAAATTATTGGAAATTATCCTTGAAATAGTATGTAGATCTATTCCAAAATAGATCAGAGAAGAATATCTGTAAGACAGCATGCAGTTATATGCCAAAATATAACCCAGGGAAGTATATGTAGATCTATACCAAGAACATATCTGTGAGATACGGAATGTAGATATATACCATAAACTTATCTTGGAGATACTGTATTTAGCTCTTTGTCAAAAAAATGAATTTTTTTTTCTTTAGCGCCATGTCGATACTGGACTTCATTCAGTAACCTCCATCCCCACCCCATACACCTCTACACTCTCTCCATCTTCAATATATCATAACTAGTAGAAAACCTATTATCAGAATTATGCCTGGGTGTTTGGAATTATGTTTTGTATTGAATTACTGACCAATGACTGACAAACCCAGTTTTATCACACTGATAGCAGGAGACGAACTTAAACAATATTATTCACTTATTCATTATAACTATTGTCCAGAATATGACTCACAAAAAGGAAGTCATTTTGAGTAAAACACAACATTTCGTGAAAGAAAATCAACAAAACAGACAAATTAATGTTAATTAGTTTGACAAGTTGATTTAGTATAAAGTTTATACAGAAATCTACCTACACTGTAGGTGTCTGTATAAGTCGTTCATTGTTGAAGTGCGGTCATGGGTGGCGCAGTACACTTACACCTACCCTAGACCTACACTGTAATATTGTGGACGTCAAACAATGCCCAGTATACAAAGTTAAAAGGACGTATTACGTTTCTGGGTAGATATACTCTGGGTTTGTTCCATTAATAATTGGAAATTGATTTCGGAAGCGATTGTCCTTATCCACGGATTTCTCTATGCTCGTTCAGACGCTGTGTACGACATACAGGTGCGTATCGATAACTGATCGGATATCAATACACACCTGATTGGTTTAGACTCAGTGTGAAGTTTGATCTCCATCAATACGGGTGTGTCAATCCGGCTCTTGACTGGGATGTGATACCTTTAGGATCCTCTGTATTCACAAAATAGGGATTTATTCAACTTTTTATATATATTTGAAGGATTTAAAAATCTGCCAACGGTAAGTTTTAATATGGACCATTTATTATCATTATTGTTACTTGAAAAATATATTAAAATACATGCAAACATGGAAGGACAAAATTTAACTTTCTCATATTTATCAATATACTTCAATATATTATACATCAGTTCATAAAAAGTTACTGCGTGTCTAATATCCACTGGGACCATTTTTCATATGCTTTACTTTGCAATTATAGATATGTATAAATATCTATAATTATTGTTATGTCCATTGTATCTGGTTCCAGAGGTGACATATTCACTAAGCATATTAGTGAAACACATGAACTCAAATATGTACTATTTATAAATTCATGTTTAATCCTCTTTAGATATTCAATCTGAAGCTTACAGCAAGTATTTGAGAGTTAAATAAAATCTTTAAATCACCACTTGTTAACGAACAGTGTCAGAGAAAACAGCATTTACTTATAATTTACCCATGATGCCAAAACGTCGGCAAAATACTGTCATTCGCGTAAATAAAATCAAGAAGAAAAATTGAAAATGTTCCGCTAAAGTTGAATATATCGACAAAAAAGTCATCTATTGTAATGACAAGTATCCTAATTGTTTTAAATCTTAACGCTGTTTCGTGATACATGCTTTTGTTTTTCTGGTCAAAATAGAAAACTGTTTAATCTTTACAAGCGTTTTGTTAAGTAGTATTTGTAGGCAGGAGAGCTCGAACACAATTCATCTAACGTATTGCGCTCTCGAACTTCATGACGGATGTGCATGTACGTCAACGTATCAGCGTTATACTGAAGATACAATTAGAACTCATATGGGGTTGTCCTGCACATTCAGCATGTTCGAGAGTCTAAAAATGCTTATAAAATAAATAATCAGGTAGCACAGAGCGGGGTAATATGTAGCGATTATAGAGGGCACCGGAAGATCAAGTACAGCCTAAATAGACTTCAGATACATGTAATCATCACGACTTTATATCACGTATATACATGGTGACATTTCAAGAGTAATATCACACGCGCCAAATTAATTACGAAAATGACCAAAAGTTAGTTATCGCATAACTGTCAACTAAAATTTGAAGGAAAAACATGTTTATGAAAAAAGAAGAAAAAAATTAACAAAAATGAAAGAAAACTGATATTAACTATCATCAAGGCAAAGGCCTACATAACATGCATGAAACTTTGTCAAGCCACAGTGTTATCCACATTTATAAATTGTATTTATAAAAAATCAGCACAACGCATTTTGCACGTTGTTTTATCCCAGAATGCTTGGTGAGAAATTTGGGTAATGATGATCCTTCAATTTTCAATGGTTACATCTGAATGTATTCAATTTGTTTAAAGATTTATTTATATAAAATGTTGTTCCGTTCTCCGTCCCGCGGTTTACCGATAACACATTTTAGAGTTATTTCCCTTCGGCAATATGGCAGCTTCCGCAACCCAAACCATGAACCAATTCCCACAATGCGGGAACTCGCTTTTTCTAATTCAGGTGTACATACTTATTTATTATCGCAGTACGATACGATACACCACTTAGTATTTTAAATGGATATCATCTTGAAGTTTCTTTGGAGAGCGGGTAAGAATGTATGTGACGTGTCCGACAAAGTTTAAAATCTGGGAAATTTGAGCTCATTCTTTTCTTTGGGGAAATGCATGGACTATGTGATATGGTGGAACTGACTGCATGAGTACACTATAAAAATGAATAAACAAGTGCAATAGGTTTTAAACATTAGGATATACAATAGTTAATGGAGAAAGGAGGTAATGTAACTATTATTTTACATACTGAAGAACTGAAGATAATTTACTGACATTTAAAACCAGGGACGTATATAACAGATCTACGTCCCTGTTTAAACCGAGCATTACTCATGTTCATTTTATATTTCAAGGAAACAAAAGTCGGTTCGGTACCTGAAGAAAAATGCACATAAATATTAAAAATGAAAACGATACAATTCCATGTATTTAATGTTTCTGACTCCAAAAATACTTATTCAATCAAAAAGGAAGATAAATGGATGAAACGAACTAGCTATACTTTATGTAAGAGTTGCTGATGGGACAAATTGAAAATCTCCTTGCTGTTTTGCTGAAATTCAAAAATAGAAATAAACATTATTTTAATGTCAATTTTCTATAACCATTCACAGTACAGGTAGCAGATGCAAGGGGCTGATATTTTCATGATTTTCAATATTCTTGCTGTCATTTGTAGGCTTATTATACCTCTGCATCATTAGAACTGCTACAAAAAGATGTACAATGAGCTCCGTTTCATCTAGTTTAATCTAGCAATTGGCAGAATATGTGCGATTATATGTTACTGGGGTTCAATACAGGAATCTGCTTGACATGTTTTGGTGCTTTTGACCTGTAAAAGTATCTTGAGTTACAGAAACTTTTACAAGTTAAATACATCCATTGATATGAACAGTAAACATTTCAAATAGATGTTGATAATTTATTACATCATATAAATGGATAAGTATGCATTTTAATGTGTTTACATGAAACAGTGAAAGGAAATTCGAAAGAGGATTTGATGCAGGATGAGAGGTTAGTTCAAATTTTTCTGACATTCTGTCAAATTTTTTATATTGGTCTGAAGTCAATGAACTCCAAGCCAATATATGAAAATGTGATAGAATTTCCGAATGAATTGGACTAGATGGTATGTGAGAGAATCAATGTCCTGCAGATCAAAGGTCCCTGTCAGGCGATATATCAGTTCTATGCAGTGATTTTTATGACTCAAAATTTTGAGTCCTTGATTCATGCTTTTCCTGTGGGACCTGCATAAATTTTGAGAACCACTAAATATCTCTTTGTAACTGGGCTCATCAAAATTTTGGAAATGGTGCTTTGAAATACAACATAGTGATATTTATTTGTCCTCAACCTTGATAGCTTGCAAAACAAATTAGTAAGAAATGATTGTTATGTACAGGATATCTATGTATTGGTAATGATCATTTCAAAGCTTTTCCACTTAGAACTTTGATGTGCTTATATTTAGTACAAAGGTCAAATTCATAGACATATGTCTGTCCTTCAATTTGTTGGTTTGAATTAAAAGAATTAGCTCCATTATATTCCCATCAAAAGGAGAAGTTCCGCAAATATGGGCATGACTCTAATAATGTTTTGTCAACTGTCAATATGGTATATGTCTCCAAAAATATGCAGGCAAAAAGGGAAGATAGCCTCAAACAGAAACCACTTACTTTTGTAGAAATTAAAAAAAAAACCAAACAATTGAACCTGAATACACATTCAAAGTATGATAATATTCCTGCTTTTCAAATATTAATACTTCTGATTGGTTTTGTCTTGGTACAGTTCCTGGACCACAAAGATGGGAAAGGTGTGCCCCCTGTGGTTGCAGCTGTGCAACATCGGCAGATAGATTTTGCTCGTCGTCTGTTGGACTTGGGTGTTGATATCAACGCCACTGATCGAAGGCTCAAACGCACTGCTTTACACTACGCCATCTCGTCTAAACGTTTGGATTTATATGAACTTTTACTCAAGTAAGTATACTGCAAGCTGTAAGCTCATTAATACTTTAAAACATTTCTGTGAAATTCTTCAATAAAGTGTACAGCACATTTACAGAATGGTAAGATGACTTGACGCTGAGAAGAATTAATGAAATGCAAATGACATGCATGCAGTAATATATATTAATAAGGAAATTGGAACATCTTATCATTATAAAATATGTGTTGAGGTTATGGATATATACTTATCGTGTGATAAAGAAAATTCATCATTTGGAGATGTAAAACGTATATGTAGATGTTACCACCAGGGTTAGCTTCTTTGCTAGCCAAAGGTTCATCTCATATACACTCATTTACAATGTAGAAGAGTGGATACAAAATGAATAAATGAGATTATACAAGATAAACCCTTGGTTAGCAAGGATGCAGGATGAGAGGCAGATATGTATGCAATCCAGTGCGTTTTGCCATGCTCAATATCTTAATTAATAGTAACAGAATGTGTACATTTTGTGTCATTTGATTATTAATTGATTAGCATGCCCAACACCTTTGGTGTAATGTAAATACAATGAAATATATCTTCAGTGTTGAATACTCATACATAACTTATCCTTTGCCAATGAATATCATACCAAATTTGATGAGAAACAGTCTTTTGATTTCCCAATACCTGAAAAGCTGATATTACCTGTAGCAGTGCTAATAGAGTGGTGTTGATGGTGACACAGGACCTGCTGTGTATATAAAGCATTGATTGAATAGTGAGATCGTCAGTTTTTGTTTACTGTATCCAAGGCAGTCGCACAACATCAGCCTTGTTTACCATGGAATAAAAGTGGACAAATGGTCTGCGGCTCGACTGCTGATGTAGCAGGCGCTGTAGCAACAAATGTACCTTTACTTGTTAGAAATAGTTTTATGTTGTAGAGTACGATGAAGGAATATTGTGGGATAATTATGCTAAAGATACGTCAAAATTGATTCAACGTTTTTTTAGATTAATTTGAATTATTGAGACGGTTTTGAAAAATACAGCACACTATTAATCTTACAATAAGACCATTTATCATCAATTTGGAAGAATGTCAATTGAGAGCAGGATGGGATTTGAGCATGAGTAGTATTTTTATTTCATTCCTGCTGTGTTTTAAATGAATGGACACATTGTCCGCTCCTATATTTGTACATATATGACTTTCTTAAGTTAGACTTCTGAATCATAGATATTTCATAAATTTTTATCCTTTCTTCATTGAAAAAATAACTTGGATGACTTTTCGTCATGCTCAAAGTTTGGCTATCCTTTTACATAGATTTTTGTATTAATTTATACTTCAGGGAAGTGTAGACATACAGTCCATATACTTACTGTTATTTATGTAGTGACATCTGTATTTAAAAGATCAACATGATCATAAATAGAAATGATACAGTACATGTTTTGTTCCTGTGGGTCCTTATGTAACACAAGCATGCTGATACCTGCTTTACACGACAATAAGCAAATCTTTGTGTAGAGAACAGTCAGATATATTAAAGCTGAAACACAAGTGTGATTTATACCAAACTTTGAATAGAAAATGACCAGGTAGAAAGGTGGTACATTTCTCGTTAAGGACAGTTTGTACCTGGACAAAAAAAATCAACACATCAATACCATGACAGACCTCCCTTCACTTTATGTAATTTTATAATTTTTTTCTTGCTCTGAACACACCTCTTTTGTTTTTGTTCTGATATGATAGGTACCAGTATATAGACCCCATGATGAAACTCCAGCTGTGCGTACTTGGTGCAGTACACACTGGTGGTATACTGTACCACACCTAAATGGTGCATTAGTCCCTGTTAGGTTATTCAACTTAATTTTCCTGAGAATCTTTATATACATGTAGTATTTTGTGGTCATACCATATCTTTTTGTTATTCATAGGTCCTTTTATTTCTGATCATTAAATCATTGAGATGTAGAACTAGTACTACTTGCCTCAGTCGTGTTATACCAGATTATCAGAGACTTGGTTACGAATGGAACAAGGATGTTGATCCCCCAACAAGCAGTCAGTGTATTCTTTGCCTTGTCTCAGTTGATTCATTTCTAAGTTTTTGTTAAATCTTCTTGAATTAGGGCTGTGATTTTTGGGACTCTGATATTTGAGTCTTGGACTCATGCTTTTCCTGTGGGACTCAACCAAATTTTGAGAACTCTCTGTATCTCGTAATAATGGAACTAGGAAAAAATATGAAAATTATGGTACGTAATGGTTTGAAAAAAAAAAAGTTGAAATTATCATATTTTTTTGGTATCAAATTACCATTTTTATATTTTTTTGACTTTGAGTCCATTCTGATCATTCTCATGATTCCAACTTTTTGTGCGTCTGCAGGTTAATTTGAAGTCGATAAGACTACCTACAGATAATCAGTTGATCAAGTGTTGATAGAGTGTAGTTAACTAGCCCAATAAGCTGTCTTTATGTGTTTAATGCTTCATTTTCAACATATGAATACATTCCTATCTAGATTATGATAAAATAACTAGAGCTTACGAAATCATGAACGACTTCTAGAAATATATCTAATTTATGACTTACTTTGAGTTTGGTGTGATTGTGTTAACAGACTGAGCAATAGATGTAAGCTGTTGAGTATGACGTATATAATTTCATACTATAAAAGTCAGGTTAAGATCTTACCTACTGGGTTAAATATCACATAAAGAACCTAAGGAGTAAGTAGGATCAGGTTCTTATCTAATTACACTGCAGATAAAGATGAAAAGATTTGCAGTAATATTTGAATTATCATATAAATTATTGGTGTAAATTATGAATATTCTAAGTGAATCAATGGCTTATATTTGTATGTTTATAGAAATATGAACTTTAAACAAAACCAATTGTTGAACTTGATTCAAAGTTGTAGAGCACAATGACACCAAACAGAGTACTGACTCTAGTCTTTAAATGTACACATTGGCGTACTTAAACGTTTCTTCTTAAATCCTTTGATCTTAATTTGTAAAGGCGGGGGATCATTCACAGGTACTTGTATATGATAAATAGCCAGGATGATTGAGTGAAAGTTTATATACACTGAACTTTTAGACTGAGTGAAAGTTGATATACACTAAACATTAAATGGTCAGAACTGGTCTCTCCTTGCAAATAGCTCTGTACTCATTGTAATGCCATAACAGGATATGCTTTTTACAGTTCTCGTACAATAATAACTGTAGAACACCAGACCTTTCAACCTCAGGTAAAGATATAAGGTGTGTGATTTGATCACTGCTTGGAGTGTTTGTGATTCTCAAGAAGCTGAGGTCATAGAACATCCTTCATGTCCTAATGGGTAAGGCACTTTACTATAGTTCTGGATAGCATGTATCCAACCTCCCTCATAATGTTCGATGAGGTAGCCACCAGCTACTCCAAGGAGTCTTTGTCAATAAATAACCCTGGCTGTTCATAGGATGATAAAATCAGGAAGCAAATTCAACCAACAGACAATAATGACATGATATTTAATTTGTAGAGAGATCAAATAAGAAAAAAAAGTTGTGCATGGATTTTATTTGTAAAGGTAAATGTGACATAAAAAAGTGTTTGCTTAGTAATGCAGGTCAAGGTCAGATTGAATAAAAACATGTGATAATGATTGACATTTTATCTTATGAGATCATCTATATTCATCGTAGGCAACCCAGATATATTTTGATCTCATTTATTTTTTCAGAATGTTGAAGTTGTTTTTAAGTAGAATAGGTGTGTTGTGAAACAGGACAGATGTTTTATGAAGTATGAAATGTGATTAGCACAGAAGTGTTATGAACAATTATTTGATGTATGGTAAGACAAGGATTTTATATCAGCAAAGACAGATATGTTATGAAGTATGACAGGTGTTGTGAGTGAGCATAGGTGTTTTTAATAGGTGGTTTATTGCAAGGCAGGATAAATAAGGCTGTCTACATAGGAAAATTGATATAAGAAACACCGGTAAAGTAAAAAAAAACATGAATACTGTATGTAGCTAAACTATTCACTAATTTCTCATCAATACCTCCATGTGTCAGTGTGTCAGATTTCTGTGTGTATTATTTAGCTGTCATGGCACTTATTCCAGGAAAGAAAACCTAATGCTACTTTGTATTGATTTATATAGCATATGGAGCAGACCACATAGCTACAGTTATTGAAATAATGCTAGTCCCATTTATTGCTTTAAGCTTGGTGTATCTCATATAAAGTTGGTTCTCCATGTCTGTCACATCACATCTCAAATTGATGTCAGCTCTCTAGTGATTCCATTCTTTTTTATTTAAATCAAAGTTGATACAAAATCTGGATGGTATGAGGATACCTTAAATTAGATGTGATTAGGAGTTCAAAGGACAAGGTCAAGGTCATCATTGTATGACTCCATACTACTGTATCCCCAGTCCCTCAATGAAGTCAGTGACTTATCAATTAAAGTTGTCACTGAGGTAACTCATCTGTGTATCTCCTGACTCTAGATCCTTAATGGTGATCCACTGATATTTTATACATCTACAACAGTCAAAAATTCAGTTTATTTATCCTGTAACAGGCATGTTTGTCTTTTGTGGGGGAGGGAGGATAGCAATAATGGCAGATGTGGTTTACAAATACCTGCAAATTCACTTGATAGAAGAAATATTGTTTAACTTTGTTCTGAAAATTGTGTATCTCTGGGGATGTGTCAGTATCTGTGAGAGGTAGGGTACAATTTGGGATCAGCAATTAGATAGACTGGAACATAGAGATCTGCTGATAGATTTTCTATACTGGTATATGTAAATAAAGTATTTGGAAAAGGACGAGAGCTTTGTTAGGTAATATTGATTCTGCTATGTACATTTCACTGGTATGGCTATCACACCATTCTCAATAGTCCAGAATCCAAGGTAAATGTCGATCCTAATGGTGAAAGTGAAGGAGAGTGTACCCTTTCTTTAGCTCCAATGAACTGCTTGGTTTGATGTTGATAAAACCTTTATTAATAACAGTGTATAAATTGTGTACTGGAATTGAGAAGGAGCAATGATCATTGAATTTGAACCAGTTGAATTAAAGGTTTTAATCCAGTGAAATCTACAGGCGATCAATTTTGAAGGCTTATAATCATGCATTGGATTCCTATGGAGGATGTCTCCTCAGCGTTGTGGCTGGACTGGTTTAACAGTGATACAGAGTGTAATTCATTCATCGTATTGTAATCTACCTGTAACTGACACTGGAAACATGGCTTTAACAATAAGACAAGACAATATCTGTGCTTTACTAGTCGGCTACAGGCAAGCTTTTACACCAGCAAGAACTAATGGATATACATATAAACATGGACTTTGAAATCTCTGCTAATCACCTTCTCACACAATCGTGTAGAATTGCTGATTAGTGCTGGCAGGTAATACATCTGCAGTTGTTTTTTGTTTTCCTATAGCCTAGCAATTATATAATCTTGTTAATCTGTTTTCAAATTGATTTTAATCCCACTCAGACATGTATCTAGACCATTTGTAATGTTAGATACATGTATAACACAGTTTGAAATTGTCTGTACCATTTTGGTTGTTAAATAAGGAGTTGGTTTGGCATGTGTACATGTCTATGAGCATTAATCTAGGATTGGTTTTGAAACATTAGTTCTGTTAAATTGTAGGACATAGGGGATTTAGAGTGGAAAAGATGCATAAGAATGCTCACAAAAATCTGTAATTTGTGATTTTATTTCAGTTTCCTACACAAGAACTTTTTAATCGGTGTTGTTTGGAAAACTGGAGGAAATTAAAATAACCAAGATCAGTAAAAGCATGCTGATCAAAGTATTCATTTAATTTATAATTAGCACCTCCTACTGGATAGCTGTCTTAATCACTATAGACTGTAATATCTCTTATTGATGACTTGATGCAGGTCAAAGTCTTCTCCCCTTTTCCTGCAAAAAAGTTAAACACATTCCTGCTTTGCAATGTCAATATCTGTTTCTGTTATAAGACAAATTGTTGAATAATGTCTGAGCTCAAAGTTCATGAATCAGGTAGGGGAGACAACAAGTATTTATTTGGGCATGATTGTGGGAAGTCCATTTTGATAAAATACCAATAGAATCATTTAAACAAGATACATTATGTATTAGTAAAGATCTTGTAAGTTCAAATTATCATTTGTGGTCTATGATTTTCTTGGTTTCTAGTTGTGCATGTTCATGTTGACAGACAGCCATCTTGAATTTTGAATGTTTGATATTTTGTTACATAAATTGCTCTTTCTCAAACTGCATGTTTAAAGTAGAGTGGTGCCCTTGTTTATTGTTAGTGTACTATTTTGGGCTAGACTAAAAAAGAAAGCAGAAGAGATAATTCTAAAGCTTCATCTGTGTATCCACCTTAATTGGCCTTAGCTGTGTGTTTAATTTAAGGAGTGACCAAAAAAGCAAACTGGTGCACAGCAAGCCATCTTAGATTTTGATGGTATGTAGCTACTATTTTTGGAAAATACAGAATGTATCTTAATCATATTTCATATGTAGGTTCCTCTTTGTCTATTGGTGTGCGGATACATTTTTTAAAAATGATCTGAAAAAAAATATGGCTGAAGAATTGGCCATGGTTGATTTTGACTAAAAATTTGGTAATGCTATTTCTTTAGATGTTAGGAGGAGATCATTCTTAAATTTGAATGATCCCTTACAAACTTCAAAAATAAACACCAAAATCTTCACATATCTATTTTGACAAATTAATTTCATCACATGTACAATGTATTACCATTGTGTGGAAAATGATGCTTTCTTGTGTAGAAGGTGTCTCTTGGTTTCTTTCCCAAGCTTAGAATGGAGACTCATTGTCTATGATGCCATGTTTATTAGATCAAGCATGGTAAAATGTCAATGGGTTTAATATATCTATATACTGGTACATGGGGTATTATAATCAACCTGATTGCAAAATTTATTTCTGGGATTAAAATATATATCTGCTTTGTAATTTTAATCTGACCACAATACCTTGTTCCAGATAACACACCAAATGCATGATTACTTAGTAAACAAACATATCAAAACAATATAGATGTGATAATTGACCAACAGTTTCTTCGAAAGAATATCTCAATGATTTTGTAATTAACATATTGAAATGATTTTTTAAACACACAAACATTCACATTGTAACAATGAATTGAATGTGTAAGAATTTATAGGGTTATAAGGTTATACTGGGGCGGTAGTAGCAGTCATTGTGAATAATCATTTAAACTTATATAACTTTAGCATTGTATGTTTGAATCAGTTTTTTTACATTCTGAAATGGAAAGGATATCCTTGTGTCATGTTTGAAATTATGTTGACTCTAGATACTCAGCTTTGGAAATCAACACTGTGTTAACATTTAATATTAACTCTTACAGCATCTGAATAAGATTTATACTTCAGTTTATGACAAAACAGATCCTTTGAACTGTTTAAGGATACAGGTGTGTACTAGGTACAGAGACTGTATTGATACACAGGTGTGTACTGGATACAGTGACTGTCTGTATAGATATACAGGTGTGTACTAGGTACAGCGACTGTCTGTATTGATACACAGGTGTGTACTAGGTACACAGTTTGTCTGTATTGATATACAGATGTACACTAGGTATACATACTGTCTGTATTGATATACAGGTGTGCACTAGGTATTTACATGTATACTATGTGAGGATACAGGTGTGTACTTAGTATATACATGTATACTGTATTAGGATACAGGTATGTACTTAGTATATACATGTTTACTGTATTAGGATACAGGTGTGTACTTAGTATATACATGTATACTGTATTAGGATACAGGTGTGTACTTAGTATATACATGTTTACTGTATTAGGATACAGGTGTGTACTTAGTATATACATGTATACTGTATTAGGATACAGGTGTGTACTTAGTATATACATGTATACTGTATTAGGATACAGGTGGAAATTTGGCCCCATACGAGCTGTCTTTGGTCAACAATTACTTTTGATCAATAATCGTGTAGTGATATTGACGTCACTTGCAGTATTCTGACATCCAATTAAATGAATAATAAACTTTGCTTCCTTCACATCATTGATATGATGTGAAATTAACCATAAAAATCCTTCCTTGTATTATTGGCTTCACTGACTTGAGCAGCAGAACGTACCGTATTTCAATCATTGTTCTCCTGTTTTCATTGATGGATGTGATTGGTCAGGTCAGGTTCTCCACCTTAACGCTCATTTAATTGTTTTCCTGTACTCCAATGGAGATCGTAACAAATAAAGTGTAATGGTTGTTTTTATTGAGGTTTCAAGTTTACATGAAAGTTGTACTTTAATTTTTGTATGGATTTCCATTCTGCATAAACTTTTATTTGCGTGAAGGTACTTCATGGGGTGTATTGGAAACATTTGATGCAGTGAACTGAAAATATTCACGTGTAATTTTGAATCGTAAAACAGTGTGTTTTGATTGGATAGAGAGAATTAATCAGTTATTTATGTTGTATTGTTTGAGAGGATTTAAAAAGATTTACTTCTGGTAGTGAGGCTTGAGTTATCAATCATACTAATGATATATCTGGTGTTCAGTTCTAACTGTTATAAAACATGGTATACAAGACTAGGAGTGAATGTGAAGAATTGAATGGATAACTATTGTGTACTTATATGTTTAGTATATCAGTTCTCTTAAAAAATGCCAGTAGTATATATCTGTTACAGTCACATGAAACAAAAGAATAACTGTAAAAATCTTCACCTCAAAATAATGTATATAATTAAAAGATTTTTATATAAATATAATGATACCAACAAAAATGTGTTCTATTTTAGCTGACAAGAAGTGGTATGGGGTATGGACAAGAATGATTGTCATTTAGCCATTAATAAAGGGGTTTGTCTTGAACAACATTCAGAAAACTAATTATCAGGGAAGGAAAGTTAGCATAGAGACATCTGGTGTGGGGTGCTGGTGTATAGATATCAGGTACAACCTGATCATGGAAACCTTTTCTAGATTATTGTGTTCAGGTCAGAGCTGATCTTAATTAAGTGCTGTATAAGGTTAAATATTAGTTTGAAATTTAAAGAAATAATATTCTCAAGTTGCAGAAGATTCATGTGGACATAACATTTGACCAGTGAGCACCAGGGTTTGGGTGTTATCTTATCTCACATATTAACCTTGACCTACTTTATGGTCATTTCTGGGGTCAAATATGATGAAAATATTCTCAGCAATATGTAGAGATCAAATATCCTAAAGATATAGGGATGGACATGATTAATATTAGCAGTATTCAGCAATAAGGTCACACACTGAATGAATTTCCATATATATGACACCTGTTCATTTTACCAATGTAAGTTTTGTCATTTCGTGTCAGAACCTGATTATTATTATTATCTTGCAATTGCATTGCTTCCCCATGAAAGAACAGAAATTGAAATATGGTATAAAGTAATTCTTTTCCCATTAAAATTTTTTAGTTCAATATTCATCATGAAATCTTATGACAAAGATACTGTGAAATCATTTACTTTTGGTGGGAGATTTATTGTCATTGATTTCAGAGGTGATCTGAAACCACAAATCACATGTTAATAATGATAGGTTTAAATTAGTATACTTGGTAAGTAGATCTATTGGGCTGTATTTAATCACAAAACTGGATGTTCACGATACAAATTTTAGGAAAAGCCATCAAAATTAAAATCCAGTAGCAACATTTAGTGGAAACAATTTATACAGAATAAGATTTAGGAAAACAATTCATCTCAGTAATTATGATTTCATGTTTGTTTTCATCAATATGACTACTCTACTGATATTTTACTGTATGATATTGTGATTTGTTATAAGTTGTGTGACTGCATTCTATGACAATGATGACTTCTCTGTTCCAGATATAAACCAGAGATAGATGTAGCAGACTATCAAGGAAAGACCGTTTTTCATCGTGTGTGTGGTAACAAAGATCCCAGGTACTTTCATAAACTGGTAGAGACTTACAACGGTATCCCAGAGGACGTGATGGATCAGGCGGCAGACGATGGCATGACACCAGTCATCATCGCCTGTCAGAATGGCAACCCAGAACAACTTAAAGAGCTCCTGGATAAAGGGGTAAGTTGATAAGAGGACAGAATATATTCTCAGATTCTAGAAATATGGGAAAAACTCTAGGAATAACCTCTGACTTTCTATAGACTAGCTTTGATTTATGATAATTATACAATTCACATAAAAGACAAAAAGTGGTGTCATTAATTTTAATCTGATTATCATGAAAATATGACTTTATTCCTGTAGACATCTATGAAATTATAGTTCATAATTGTTAAATGAAATTTTCCATAGGCCTCAGCAAGTGATGCAGACAAGACTGGGAAGTCAGCACTGCATTACTGCGCTGACAACTTAGAAACGCAATGCGCAGAGATGATTTTACACAAAGACAGTGATCTCCTGAACTCTAAGGATGAGCAGGGGTTCACACCCCTCCATATGGCTGTGATAGGAGGCAATGCCCCCCTCCTGCGACTCCTACTGAAGAAGGATGCTGACATTAACTGTCTAGACAATGAACACCATACTGTGGCACACTGGGCAACAGGTGACTATCTTTCTCTCTTACTAAAACAGTGGTTTACTGTATTGGATGTTAGGTGCTTATTAACCTGTAACATTTTGTCATGCTAGGATCTTGACTTGTAAGCTATCCTGGTCAGCACATCAGGTATTGCATGATCTTATCTATATTTAAAATTTTAAAAAGCCTTTACACAGTTTATACTTTTCAAACCACATATATATTGGTTTTATACACATTTAAAGCATTGTTGAAATAAAATTATGTTATTAGGTTTTTTATGTTGTAAGTGGTGTGTCAGAGGCTGAAGAAAATCAGCTGATTTAATTACCATTCTGCATTATCATCCAACAGGTTTTAACAGGTAGTAATAATTCTGATGTTAAGTTCACTGCATGCTAATAAGAGATATAAATCAAAGACAGATTTGAAACAGAAATTTCTAGGGTACTTTATGTAGTACATTGAATTTTAAATTAAAAAGAAAAACATCTAGAAAATCCTGAAAACTCATCACTGAGATATTTTGGCTTCAGTACCTATACATTTGACACCCGTTACAAACATAAGGTTGTTTACTGTGTATCCATGATCAGTAGTACCCAACCCTAGGCCCACATCCAAATCTTTAAAATTCCAGGGGTGGTATAATGTATGCTATGGAAAGCTGATATTTGTTGATAGCTGTACAGATGTAGGTAATATAAGTAATGCTTTGTGATCTAAGAACTGAGTCAGACAAGTATAACAGTCTCATATTGTGTTCTCATTCGTACTGTTGCTATGTCTTCTACCTATGCAAACAACTTTTGTTTTGACCGTGCGGTTTCATCAATGGTTTTATTTACAAAAACATATGTAAAATAGTAATTCTAGCTGTAGATAAAATCTGACTCCCTCAACAGTGGGTTACCTCCCTTAAATATCCTTTAGAATTCAGTAAGAAATTTCAGTAATTTTATGTATGATAGAAAATGCAATTGTTCAAACTTTTACTAGAGATGAAATCAATACCCAGTGATCTTTGTATTTTGTTTTGCTTAATTAATTTTGATAAAGTGATTTTGCTAGTTTGCTAGTGTACAAAGATTTTTTTTATCCTAGCTTGTTTCAATCTTTGTTTGTGACCAGTGTATTCTTTATGTTCTGGTTTCTATTCTGCCAGTAATTTCATTGTTTTGAAGATTGACAGTAATATAGGAAAATTATGAACTTTTTAAAACTTTCTTGAATAACTCTCATATATTTGAAATCTTAATATTTTCATTTGTTTTCAAATTTTCTTATTTTAAATTTCAAATTTTTATTATCATTATTTGCTTAAAGCTGTATATGAAAATGTAACATTATTTTGTAGTAAAGTTATCAATTCCCAGAATTTAACAACCCAGTACTATTTTTCCCAAAGAAAAAACATTGCTATTGGTAATTTTTTGATTAATTTGATTTCACTGTATGACGTCATATGATACTTGTCTAGAAAAACCTGTGTCATGTCATCATTATTATTTGGTTTTTCATTTGTAAATGAGAAACATTGTTGAAGACACCAATAAACAAATGTGAAACAGTGTCTCAAATTGACACTTCTGATTAAAAACTGATGGAAGTTTTGCACTTTCCAATATTTTTAAATGGTTATCGTATTCACCTGAGTGTTAGAAAGTTTACAAGTAATTGTAATTAACATCATCTTTTTTTAATGTCTGCTTTTAAAGCCTGTCTACATGCATATTGTCTACTAGTTTGACACACTTTTAACTTTGAACTTTCATCTGGTAATTATTTGTTTTGAAATATTGAAATCCAAAGATGAAAATAAATGAATGCAATTTATAAAAACTTTAAAATATCTGACTGCAGGAAATATAAAGACAAAAAAACAATGGCGTCAGTTAAGAGTCAGTTGTCAATTTTTATATCTATCACATCAAATTCATAGCCTAATTTCTTTGACTAACAGCTGAGGTGTGAAATCTTCCTGTAAGTTTTCATTGCTGAATATTTTTTGATCTATAATTAAACATTATGTGAAAAATGTATGTTAATTTTAAGTATTTTATGACATCATATGAAGATTTGTGTGATTTTATTCTCCCATCCTATTGGTGTTGTACTGATCTATTTATATCCTCAATCATCACTCAAAGGGCATCACATGACAGGACGCAAAGGTAAGGGCAGACCACTCTCCTGCAACAACAGCATCTCATCTCTATATATATATATAGCATTTTTTTTAGTCTGTGGTGTGTGCTCCAGGACTTTGTTACCATATGTGTACCATTCCGTAGTGACATTGCTTAGATGCACCTTTTATCTATTCAAATATCAAAATTATTTAGGGATTGAAAATAAAGTTATATTAATCTTAAAAATATTTATACTGATATCTTAGCTGATGCTTGACCAACACTTGTCATATATCCATTTCATATTCTGTGAGATCTCATTGTCTGAATTCTGCTTTCTGAAATACATATAAACAGGAGTTTTCCTGCAATAAAACAGAAACTAGTGTCATTAAGACATTGAAGTTTTTCACACATTTCCAGACTAACATGTTTTAATTGATGTATATCTGACGTACATATTGTATATATTGTGTACACACAATTAACTTTAGTATCATTGACACTTTGAACTCTGTAAATATTTACCTTTCTAACTTCAGTTACTTGTATTACCCTACAAACAGAAAATTTCTATTTCTTCTACAGTTGTGATTTTAGGCTGTACAGATCAGCTGATAATATTTCGTATGAAATCTCTAGCTACATAGTAAATAATCAATATATTGATCTCTCACTGCATAGAACCTGTATATATAAAGAGTTTTTATTAATACAGGCTATTTTCGCAAGAGAAAAATAAAGCTGTCGGGTTATCTTGTAGAATCATATTTTATGATATATTTAACAAGTAGGACACTGAATAATTTACAATGATCAAACGTCTCAGTACAGACATGTACAGACAATGGATGCTACAACTCTATCATGTACAAACTGTCTTCAATAAAATTTATTAAGTATTAAGATCTGAGGCTATGCAAACCATCTTGTTACTTGCTTAATGAAGAAATAAACACACAGATTCTTATTTGTGTGAAGAGATGGTCATGTTTGTTAAAATCAAATTAAATGACCTTGACATACTTTCAGGGTTACAAGTGTCAGCTTACAATCTTCCCACTTCTTCTTTTAAAGAATCTTACGTTGAAGAATAATATTGATAAATAGTCAGTAGCTTGTTTTATCAACTTTTAATGATATTGTATTATTATCACCTCTTAAATGAATTGTAATTCTTAAACATATACCTGAAAGTTTTGACCAAACATTTTGATTATATTTGAAGATCACAGGTAATATTTATAACTTTCAGTGCTGAAGAATTCACTCCATTGTACCTGTTGTTAGATCCAACTTGCCTGTTGTCATTAGCTTGTTTGTAATTGTTGTCCATGGTTCAGTATTCACCTCAATTTATTTCACTTATTAGATCTGGATTATTTTGTTCTCTAGAAAGCATTAAAAAGATCTTCGGAATGATGTATTGTAATTCCACATTTTCTGTAATGTCTGTGTTCGTTTAATTTATTGGTTTTTTTTTACACATTTTCTTCTTTTTTGAAAGTTAGTTTGGATTTTATTGTGTGTCTATTTTTACCCACACATCTATTGTGATTTCTTTACAATTAGCTTGCTTGTAATCAGTTGATAAGTTGTCACTTAGGTCCTTTAGATGTGCAGATTTAACATGATGAGATGTATAAAAATGTTATTCTTTAGACCTGAAAGCTGCAATATCAGATCTTTTATAACTATCGCAAGGATAACATGGTTTCTTTCTATCAAAAACTGTACTGCATCCAGAGGATTTTCAAATGCTTTATCATTAAAATCAAATGTATGCATTGTTAGATATTAATGAGAATTACTTTTTTTAATATACTTCATTAAAATAAAATTCCATCAACTTATATTGTTAAGATCATGTTAGAAATATGTATAATTTGAATTAGGCTGGGGAGATATAGTATATGTAGTGAGAGTGTCTTCAGAATACAGACAGCTAAGTGTAATTGTTGAGACAATAATATGCTGAAGTTTTGTATAAATATATCAAATGTATATTGGACATTGCTTTAACGTTTCCTTTATAGATCTAGTATTTAAATATGTGATTTTTGGTTTGTTTCATAAATTTCAAATGAATAAACAAATTTCAGATTGATTTTGATCATGACAAAAAAAAAAAAGAAAAACCCAAATATATAGAAAGTGAATTAAGGATACGTTTAGGGGGAAATGACAGTGAAAACAAAACTGGTTTCAATCAACAGTTCGGGTGTAAGTGTTTTTCATGGATTTAACTTTAGCTGTAGTTAGGGACTCCAAAGTGATGACAAACCATAGAAGTATAGGTGGACCAGTCAACGAATAGTCGATGATGTAGTAGAGCTGTGACTATTAAGTGACCTGTATTAACATAGACCTTTTTGTTCTGGAATTGGAAGGTAGTTTGTAAACCAGACAATCAAATAGGAATGGTTTTTAAATCATTAAATGTTTAAAAAAATTATGAACAATATATAATAAACTGTTTACCTTACATGATTCAAAACAAACTGCATTTTCTGGTATACAAACTGACTTACAATTCATATGCAACTTTCAATAAGACATTTTTGCATTTTCTTTCCTTAGATATATCTACAAATAATTTGTTTTGTATATAAAATCATATTTATCATAAATTTTGTTTTGAGAACCTTAACCTATGTAAAATCACAGAGAAGGAAATGTGAAATTAATCAGTAAATATTCTACAATTTATATATTTCTGAAGTGTAAACACAAGTACATATGTAGTATCAATTTAACAAAGTGGCACAAAGTTAAAAGATTATCAATTGAAGGTAATTATCCATTGCCAGAGGAACCGTAGAGATTAACACCATTTCATTGTGGGAAGAAATCTGTGTATTAGTGTCTTAATTTTATAAGATATAGTTCTTTATGAATAAATTGGTAGAAAAGAAAATCATTTGTCTGATGAAGGTGACGGTGTAGTCATGGAAATGTCACACTCTGATCTTCTACTGATTGTAGTATAAGAACATCTGTTCTGTTGACATTACAAACCTGAAGATAATGTTCCAAAATATGAAAAATTGTGTATAGAAAGAGAGCTTATATATGTAGATACAATATTATATATATAGAACGCATCCCATTAGTTCATAACATAAGTTTGATGATTGAAAACTTCCAAAAAACCTGAAGTTATGGCAGTATAATCCTTGCTAATATGATATACAGAGGTTAGAAATAAGGGGAGATAATTTGTGTTTTACAGTGTGTGGTCACCTGGAGGTCCTGGAGATTTTACTGGAGAATGGAGCAGACGTGTCAAGGGCAGACAGTCATGAGGCATTCCCTATACACTATGCTGCCCAGATGAATGGGAAAGAGAATGGTCACACTGATCCTAAGATAGGTGAAAAAGTCCTTAGGAAACTCATCGAAAATGGAGTGCCAATGGACGTCCTAGACAAAGATGGTCGCCAACCTTTACTTTGGGCAGCAAGTGCTGGTATACAATCATCATAATTAGTTTTTATTAAATGCCACTTTGTTTAAAATTGTTGTAAGTTTACCAAAATGATGCTACAATATTAAGGAAATGTATTTTGTATAATAACATGTATTTGATTTTTTTATATTGACATGTGTACAATGGATATTTTAGGTGACTTTCAATGGATTATAAATGTAAACAATTAGTGTAAATAACAGTGTTAGTATCATTTCTATCTTCTCCATGTCTGTAAATTTGACCGTTTGTTTATTGTAGGAAATTCGGAGTCTTGTAAGTTATTGGTGAAGGCTGGAGCAGATGTCAATGCTATAGACAAAGATGGACTCTCAGGTAAAATGTTTTGACATGAATATCAAAAAGGAATTAAACATCAGAATGGAAATTATTTTAGATACAAAAAAATAATGTTACCAAAAATTCTCAGTTTAGTGATCAGAAAAATATTGATCGTGCTAAAACTTGTTGGTCAACACGCATTTTGGAAAAAAGGAGAAATTGATTATATCTAATGCAGAATCTCATACATTTGTGATAGAATGAGATAGAGAGTTTTTGATAGCAGTAACAGCCTTTATAAAGTTGATATCAAATGGTGGCAGCGACATAATGATTTGTTTTCTGAAACTATTGTTTTAAAGTTTGTCTCATTGTGTCCTCAGCTCTGCATTGTGCAGCATCACGAGGTCATGTCAAGTGTATAGAGACTCTAAAAAATCTTGGAGCCGATGTTGATCTGGCAGACAAAAACAATTGTACAGCACTGTTCTACGCTATCACCCTTGGCAACAAGGACTGCACCAAGGCCCTCCTCAAATTTGGTTCCAATCCCAACCACCAGGACAACCGTGGAAGGACGTAAGTGACCACTACAAGGCTTCAGCCTTCTTGAGTATTGGTGTGACCTATTTTTGGGAGCTTTATTCATAATATAGAGATAAGAAGTTTGGACACAATATATCTATTGAATCACATTGCTTAGGATTCTTTTGTAATGTCAAAATAATTTTCATGAATATCAGACAAATTTAGATATCTAATTGGAACAAGATAAGGTTCTGTTTATCATAGAACTTACTGAATCATAGTAAAGAATTATTTAGTTCTGATGAAAAGTATTACAGTCTGTTTTTTCATGACATTTTTGAGTGATATTATTGATGTTTATACTCATGCATCAATGGACCCTTTGTGTTAGAAGTTGTATATATTAGATCTGTTAATTGGTCATCAATACTTAGAATAAATATTCCTTTGCTATCTGTGATCATGAGAGGACAGAAAATCTAAATGGATATTGTCAATCCATCTGTTTCTTGGTCCAAATACAATGTAATATGGACATGGATTCTCCCAAATCTATATAAGGGAGACAACTTTTAATACAGACTATGATTTTTTTGTTCAAGGGAGTTAACTCCTGTATCTCTTCATAATTTACTCACATTTCAGTTTACATGTCAATGAGTATTGGCAGTATAGTCTGTAATAAATGGTATTTTAATTTTTTCTGGACTCTTGGTAAATAATAATTTTCTTAATATTTATAATGCCTTATATGTGATCTGGTTTACATTCAGGCCTACCCACTGTGCTGCCATTAAGGGCTGTGTGGATACGGTCAAGATGCTGGATAAACATAATGCCCATCTGTGGTCACCAAGCATCCGTGAGGACTGCCCCATCCACGAGGCTGCTCAGGGGGGATTCTGTGGTGAGTAGCAATCACTCTGGAGAAAATGAGAATATATGACAGGGTTAATTAATTCCTGAATTCTTTTAGAATTTCTAGATATTACTGATAATGTTAATTTGTGGTTGGTCTAAATTTAAACTGATTTTATCATCTACAAGACAAGAGAAATCATTAAAAAAAGTATCATGTTATTGATTTAAAACATAAATTTGATGAATCTGATGTGAAATTCCACAAATGTTATACATTTTGTACAAGAGTTAGACATTCTTTTTCATTAAACTTAATATGAAAAGGAACATTCAGGATATTGAGATATGATTCAAATTTTTCTTTAGCAGAGTTTTTATAGAGAGTCTGCATTAAATGTTATATGTTATAAGGTTTTATCCAGATAGCTCAGTTTGTAGTGAGCTAATGAACATGAAGTTTAGAAACCCCTCTACTGACATTTTGAGATAGCTCTGTATGTAAGGATACATGTATTAAGAAAGTAAATAAACTTGAGTTTTGGAGGGGAGCAAAATGTAAGAAAAATCAATTTTTTATCTCTAACTATAATTTGCTTGACAGATGTAGTGAAGTATCTTTTGAAGTGGAAGAATGACCCTAATGCTGTGAATTTACCAAACAAGGGAGGTCGCACCTGTCTACATATAGCTGCCATAGTCAACAACCTGCCTCTCTGTAAACTCCTAATTGATAATGGTGCTGACAAAAATGCCACAATGATCCACAAGGTAATTAGGTCTTTTTGCTCTTACATACATAAAGGCTGGTTCATGGGTAAACAGTTAGGGCTTTAAGAGACAAACTGTCCCTCCTTGACTAATGTAGTACATAATTGTGTTTGTTATATCTTTACTAGGTATTTTACAGGAACAAATCAGTGGAGTTTAGTTGTTCAGACTTTGTGCAAGGAAGTAAATTCCTTCTCAAAATTATTTTGTTTCCAAAATTGCCATCAGCACATAAAAAATTGTAAGACTCACATTTCAATCAGTCAGATCGAAAGTGATTTGCTGTAGATAAATTAATTCCTATCATATTGATTTCAGAGATGACTTAATACATTTCAGTCACTGAACCAAATAGAAACTTTCTTCTAGCTAAAAGTACATTGTTTACTGCAATGTAAAGCACAAGGCTCTCCCGAAAATCTCATTGTGAATTAACTAGCAGGTAAAGGTGACCACTTTGTCTTCGAGGTGAAGGTTAGAGATCATTTCAGCAATTTCTAATGAAGTGACATATCAAGAGTATGGTATTGATCAGTTACAATGGTATTTCTAGTGGTGTTTTTGTTCTTTGTAATGTATTGAAGTCCTTCAGAATATTGTACTGTTCACACTGTAATGACCCGAAGTATTGGTTTGAGTTTATTTGGTTGAACTTGTGATACTAGATATCATATTTTGTTCTCTATATCATTCTTTGAGAATGCACCATAACTTAATTGGCCATATTAAACCAATTCAATCTTTTACACTTCAACATAAAAACACCTACCAGTTGTTGTTAGAGTTTTCTAATATCAAAATAACTTATGTGTAAATCTGAAAATGCTCTTGTTTCTCCTTTTTAAAAAAAAAGGAAAAAGATAAAATCTTTCGTGGGTACCAAATGATTGTTATATATTGATTTTCATTCTTTGAAATCTTCTTCATTGCATTTATTTTCTTTGTTAATCTACAGCCACCAAATTATAAAAGTATTTAAACAAATATTGAATGTTAATTGGTATATCATTTTAACCATATTTTAGCTCAGCTGGCCCAAAGGGCCAAGTGAGCTGTAGGGATACTGCATCTGATATCTGTCCAGTGTCCGTCGAGCATCCGGTGCTTGTCGTCTGTCACCTTTTACTATATATTGCAACTGTTCTTGAACAACTCAGCAGATTAATAAAATTTGATCTGAAGCACCCTTGGGGAAAGATTAACCAATTTGTGTAAATGGTGGGTCTTCCCTCGACTGGGGCTAGATGGACGGGGCCCGATATGGAAAATCTATTAATTGCTTTGGGAAAAAGGAATACATTTTGTATGAACAGTGGATTTCAGTCCATTGGGACCAGAGGGCCAAGGCCAAATAGTTGACACAGTGTATATTCTTTAAAATCTTTATTATTTTGGAACTGAAGACATATTTGTTGAAGAGAACTTTGTTATTTACAAACAGCTGCATCTAACCCCCTTTTGGTGGAGGGTCAAGCCTTTTACAGGGAAATAGAAACAAGTGCTTTAAACACTTTTAATTAAAACAAATAAATTTTAGCAAACTAAACCAGGTGAGCAATACAGGCCCTATGTACCTCTTGTTTTAATTGCTAGAATTCTTAAGATATTTGAATGATATCTGATTTCAATGTTAGGACTTAAGACATCATGTTTAAACACATTGTAAATAGAGATATACAAAGCACCTTTGAGTGTAAATCTACTACATTTCATCCCTTTGTGTAAAGTTATAACAGGTATACTTTGTAGTTTTATGTGTAAAAATACCCTGAACAATAGACCTGTGTTGTTGTGACCATAATAGAAATATCATTGATAAATTTCTTAATATAGATCACAAAAAAGATGTTCTTTGTGTGACTTCAATTTCAAGTGGATGATATTTCTTTTTTGATGTCCATGTATTGGTTTTATAATGTCTACTGTAAATCACGGTTTATTTTGATGTTTTCTTTTGATCTTCAAATTGATATTCGATATAGATATTGAAATTTTACATTTAATTGTATTTTATACAATATTTATAAATGAACTATTATATGATATGAATGTATTGTTTGTCCAGGTGGACAACTGTCTATTTGTAAATCAGAAAGGTTGTTTTCTGGTTGTGGTATACCTGCTATAAATTTCCTTTGGTTACACTGGACTGGCTAAAATGATGGTTTTTTTTGTCTCATGCATGCACAGTGCATTGTTACATGTACTTATACCAGCGCAGTGTTAAAATATAGAAATTATTACAATGGATTATCACTTGGAAAATTCCCAGGTGTTAAATCTAATCCATTCCAAAGGTTATGAGGTAACACAAGATAGTGAAGATTGGAGTACTATACCTGCCAAATTGGAGCAGAATTTGGTAAGTTATTGAGGCAGTCTAAAAAGCCATGAATGTTGTAGTGGTTGATTGAGTTTAGGGGATTCAGACCAGTATATGGTTTTACTATAGTGAGTATTGAACATACCTCCAGACAGACTACTACATACTAATGGCTGTCAATAACACCACTCACATTTACATAGAATCTGTTAGTGTAGCCTTTTGTATAGCATTTACGGGTCAACAAGGGTTTTCAAAACATTCATTTTAAAACAATGTTCTCCAAAAAGCAAGATCAAGTATAGAAGATATATTATGGATTTATATTATGGTCATTTAGGGTTGTTATCAAATGTCTGTTGTGTTTCTATCTGGGTATTGTTTCTGTCACGCCTGATTGTTTTAAACAGTGGTTTGTGTTTAGCCTAAACCTATGTAGTTCCAATGTGTCTCTAGTTCTGTCAACCTGACATTGGACTTACAGACAACATAGTACACTGTTTTGTGATTCTAAACTCATCCAAAGGTTATAAATCCAGGACTGCCATAGGTAAACATGTTAGGAAAGAACAAACTTGGTAAGGAAGGTGATATTATCAAAACATGAAACGAGAATAAATGAGGATATAGATACTGTTTAAAGTGAACCAAACTGATTAAAGTACACATAACGACGCCAGCTCAAATTGATTGGTTAATTATCTCGTTTGTAAGCATATTCATTGAGGGTGGTATTCATGTTGTTTAACTGTACATTTAAAAATATGTTGTGTCTAATTCTCTACTTTAGATGTAATTGATCGACTAGAGATATGTATTATGTATGTTATTTAGGTCCCAATGTCTGTGTTCTGGTTGATCTAATGTCTTGATCCATGACAGAACCATTCACTCTGATAGGCCAACATGTATCTCCAATCTTCTCTCATCATATTCAAAAATTAAAATCTGTCAACAGCTCCAAACTGATATGTTGTTGAGACAGAATTCATGCACAGATGACAGCCATGAAATAGGAATGCTGCCATGAGCTAGTCCTTTCATGGTGTTACTACAATACATACCAAAGGATTTCTCACAACAGCTCACCTGAAGGTTCAAGAAAAGAAATCTAATTTATATTTGTAAATTCATTTCTGAGGACCAGGATTAGTAAACACTGTCTTTTATATGTTTAAGTATAGTTGTTCCTCACAGTCAGTCGACCAATTCTATATCATATACACCATTTGTGTGAGGCAGATATTGTGTATTATAGAGCTCAATAGGAAGTAGGTTTGACAATAACAGGCTTCCGATGGCACTCGTATAAAATTCTCCCAATACACAGACTAATGTGGATACTTCGTGGATCGAGGAGTTTGGGTGTCCTCAAGTAAATAATATGTTTGGATAGTGGATTTTGAATACGGCCATATTTACCTTTAAGATTTGAAGAGTATCTAACAGACTTGTGTGGTGTCAGTGTGAGTATATGTGTCCAGGTGACAATGATATAGGTGTTACATACAGTAGACCATACAACAGGTATGTATTGGTATTGCAATAACTCTACATCATTGTTGTAGTCAGTGATACAGCACATGTGATGAAGTTACCTGATAATCTTTTTGTTTTTATAGTAACTCTTGTGTTTCTAACTAAAAGATAATGAATCAGTAAGCTCTTAAGTTTGGTTGTTATTGTGTATTTCAAAGGCACGTTTATAGTCTTACTGTAACAATAAATTGGGCAGGGGAAGATGTGGAACAAAGAGGATGGATTAAGTACAGAAAATAATCAGTGCCTATAATGATGTTCAGAAACGTAATAGTGTGTAAAAATTATCTGTTTTACTGATTTCTGTGGTGACGTTGGTCATGTGAGTTGGGTAATACACTCTGTCATTTCAAAGATAAGTTTCTCTTCTGAATGGGTCCAGGTGAAAAAAATATCATCAGTATTTTGGGACATGTTTATAGTGTTTCTTCCTTAGTAGTCCATTGATATTGTGGCATAAAGTCACTAGATATACTTGATTTTGGGTCTATGATGTCACATTATTAAATTATACAGTAAAGCAAAGACTATAACTTTGTCACCTTATTATAAACTGTAAAAGAAAGTAAAAATACAGTTGAATGGTTTTGTGCCATACAGTTCTGTACTAACTATTCTTACTGAAAGATAATGCCCCGTATACCAATATTTGATACCAAATGTGGAATGTACATGAGAGTCCAGAGTCCCGATTAGTGTATATAATATTGATACATATATTTTGTAGTATTGGTGCGGTGGTACAGTTTTACCTAACTTCACATATCTAAAACATTCATGTTTCACCATCGTTCAGGTTCTGCTGTATTTTCCATATTTAGATATATATATTTAGATTGCGACGTTTTACTCCAAAGTTTCAGGATTTATGTGATATAATGTTATATAAAACAAGCTATTTCAGGTAAGGAAAAAGATAGACAGGTTAGATGTTTAACAAAAGTGAAATAAAGGGGGACGGGGTTAGGAGTCAGTGTTGTTGTTAGGGATGGGGCGGGGTGGAGGAAGGAGAAACATAATATTTTTTTCTATTAGGATTTAAGTTAAAGGAAATTGCATGTAGTATTGACAGCCTTTAAGTAGATTTTTATTGTCTTCTTGTGTGTTTTATTTTACTCTTTTATTTCATTTGGGAAAGCCATCAATATAACTGTCACTGTACCCTGAGTAAAATGTCTCCCTTCTCAATCAGGTTCGATTAAAAAGTCAAATAAATATTCCTTCAGTGAACTACTAATGCATTCTGTCATTAATCTTTGATACTGTATATTTGATTTAGTAAAAAGATTAAATTTGGTATTAAAAATTTGAGATTACTTGTGGGTATACGCTAAGCACATTTGGTTGTGTATAGGTGATTACAAAGCATTCAATGTATTGCTATAATTGAAAGGTAATAAGAACATGTATTACTCAAAGTAGAGTTCAATTTATCTTCAATTTAATTGTAAATCCTGTATTCATTTACTAGTAGTCAGAATGGTTGGTCACATATCCACCTTCAATGTTGACCAAGGAAGAAAAGCCTCTTTGTACAAGCTTTTAAAATGTTAGGTCTTTAGCATTTTGCCTGGATAAGGCAATGAGAATTTGCTCTAGTGCACCTGCTTCAGGATTCATAGAGATATGTAAATAGTGATAACAGGTAATATTTGTGAAATAGGATTTACTATTACACAGTAATTGTATTTAGACATAACTAATATTGCTTAATTGTTCAGATTAACAACGATGAATATGTGATTATTGTAGAGTTAACTAAATATACCAATATCTTTATATCATCAGAGACTATGAACTATAGGTAGCCATTGAAACAGTCTTGTTTTAAAATGACTTTTTCCTTATACTGGTACCATTCTATATATTACTATAATGAGAGAAATGTACTTTAATTGTTGGTGATAAATGTTTTGATGTATTTACGCTAAGCTGTTATATAGGAACCTAGCACCCCAGTGAGAGAAAGCCCACACCAGGAATGTATTTATAAACAATAGTCATGCTATTTGTTCATGCTTAATTAAATAGTGATCAATAATTACAGTGTTAACATATATATAACATGTGTGATTTATGAGATTTTTGCTACAGTATGTAGGTGTGTTCATATACCTGCTCCTGGTGTGTTTGTCAAGACCAAACTTATTTGATTAAGGAAAAAAAAAGAAAACTAAAAATGTATATGTAGGAATCAGACACAGAACTTAGAGTATATGTTGCAATCAATCACAGTAAATCATGTTGCTTGCATATATGGACTTACTGAAGTGAACATTCAATATCTATATGTGTAATAGTTTTGTCTGTTGGTGTTATTGATTAAAACTAACCCCCTACAGGTTGATCAATAAGCATACCTGATAAAATATCTCTGTTTCTTATCTGACAGAATCTCTACTCAGGGAAATCAATGAATTAAGGTGTCAGTGTAACAGGTAATACTAGGCCAAGGTTTGACATGGTTACTCCAGTTTGATTTGTTTGGCAACCAGTCTTTCTCACATAATCAGATTGTTATGGTATCAAGTTCCTTTCCCGAAGGAGAAATGTGTTTTAATGATCCTTGACTTTAGAATACTTTTGTATATGTGTTTCAGATGCATGTGTCTTGAGTACCACAATAATTCTTTCTCAGGTGTCTTCATTTTCTTGGTATTTGAATATTTCTGCCTTCCTGATAATGTCTTACAGGTTGCCTCCTAGGTACTGAATCATGTTGGTGTTACCATGCGTTTAACACTAAATGGTGTGATCAGACTACAAACTTTAATAGCCACCAGAGGAGGTGACTGTAATTGTCAGCTGGAATAGTTTATTAAAGCATTGTCTTCTTTAAAAACAAGAATCTTTTTATAGCACTGTAAAGATGTAAATGAAAATGTTTGTCGTCCATTTTTATGAAAACCACTATGTAACATGTTTGTTACGTAAAAACTATTGCCATTTTGTTGCAAAAGGTAAAACTACGAAATCAAATGCAATGAATCAGACTTCATATAAAAATTGTGTTCACTTCTGTTGTGATAACCACAGAATTTTTTACATTTGAAATTATGTCTTAGGCTTCAACCAAAATCAATACTCACTAACATTTATGTTATACAAAGCTTTTACTCAAGTATCTATCTAATCTAGATCATTATTTTATAAAAAAATGTTTAGTTTATAAATGAATGGATACTCTTTTTATCTTGGATATTTCATGACTCATTAGATAATTTTACAACTTACGGATATCATTTACTTTATCTCACCTTTGTCATATACGTAATTCCCTTTGTATGTTACAGGACAAGACATACACACCTTACGATGCAGCTGTAGTGAAGGGAAATCAAGAGACAGCTGACTATATCAAGGGCAAAGGTGGGAACTCTTCCACGGATTTCGACAAATCTGGGAAACGGGAGTCGAAGTCCGCTAAATCACGCCGTAGTGTGCTCACACTTGAGAGTACACCAGAAGAGAGAGAAAAGGAGGAACAAGCTGAGCACGACAAAAAGGGAGATGTAATTTTGACTCCAGTTACTTCCCCTTCCAAAGGAAAAAAAGGAGGAAAAGGTGATAAAGACAAGGGCGGAAAAGACAAAGAAACAGAAAAGAAAGACAAAGAAACAGAAAAGAAGGAAAAAGGTGAACAGAAATCAGATGGAGAGGAAGATGAGGATGAAGAAGATGCAAAAGATCCGGGAGTGAAACCATTAGTAGCTGCTGGTGTAGGTCTCAAAGCCAAAGACAAAAAGGGTAAAGATAAAGAAACAGACAAAAAGAAGAAAACAAAAGGAAAAACCGAGGAAGAGAAGGATTCAGAAAAAGACAGAAAAACAAGCCAACCAGAGGAGGAGGACGAGGAGAAGGATATTGTAGATAAAACTGTACCACTGGGCAAGTCTGGTGTTGGTGCTAAAAGAAAAGGAAAAGAAGAAAAGGAGGAGGAAACTGAGGGAGAAGAGGAAGAAAAAGAAGGAAAGGGAGACCACAAAGAAGAAGAAGGGGAAAAGAGCAAAACATCATCTGAGCAGGACGACGAGGCTGCACGTATTGCAGCAGCAGCAGCAGCTGCAACTGCTGTGAAGGTAAAACGAAGAGGAAGCAAAGAAACAAGCAAGAAAGACAGTCGTGGTGACAGTGGTGTAGAAGCAGATTCAGAACAAGAGTCTTCAGAAGAGGACGGGACAAAGGAGGAAGGAAAGGACAACACTGAACAATCCAAGGGGAAGCCTATTCAAACAGCAGGAGGAAGAGTTCATCGTAAGAAGAGAAGAACAGACACCGTTGAGGAAGAAGAGGAAGAAGAAGAGGGAGAAGAAGGAGTTGAAAAGAAAGACACTGCTGCATTAGCTGCAGCAGCATTGCTAGCAGAAGAAGAAAAGAAGAAAAGGTCAAAACAAGAAAAAAGCAAAGAAGACGAAAAGAAGAAAAAAGAATCAGAAAGGTTGAAAGAAGAGGAGAGAAAGAAAAAAGAATCAGAAAAATTGAAAGAAGAGGAGAGAAAGAAAAAAGAATCAGAAAGGTTGAAAGAAGAGGAGAAAAAGAAAAAAGAATCAGAAAGGTTGAAAGAAGAGGAGAGAAAGAAAAAAGAATCAGAAAGGTTGAAAGAAGAGGAGAGAAAGAAAAAAGCCGCTGAAAAACTGAAAGAAGAGGAAAGGAAGAAAAAGGAAGTTGCAAATAAGAAAGGGTTGAGAGTTGCAACTCCTCAGCAAGGTGCTAAAACTGGAATTGAGGCACAGGATAATTCACACGCTCCAGCAGCAGGTGCAGCTGGAGTAGGATTAGCAGCAGCCCTATCTGCAGGCAAGAATAAGAAGGAGATTGCAGAGGTTCAAAAAGAAGAAGTTGGAATTCAAACAGATCGGAGAGAAGAAAAGGAAAAACCAAAGACCACTGACACAGGAATACAGACAAAGAAACAGCACACACGGCAAAGTGGGAGTCAGACTGAGTTATCAGGTGACCAGGTGGTTAGTAGGGAATCATCTACAGATCGACAACCTAAATCTCGTGTCAGGACTGCTTCTAGAGACTTAGAGTCTGAAGGAGAATTTGAAGTCCCAAAAGATTCACCGGAATCAGAAGCAGAAGCTCTTAGAGCGGCAGCTGCAAGGAGAAGTTTATCACGAGCAGAGTCGGAGACAGGTCGTGAAGAGAAACCACAAAGCAGACAGCGTGTGTTACAGTCACCTTCTAAGGTTCCAACGGATGGTAGAATCAGTCAGGGATTATTGACGAGTTCCCGGAAAACCTCACGCCAAAGAACATTTGATAGAAGTGACTCACCAGACCTCTCCTCAGGTGAAGATATTGATGAAAGAGATTATGTTGATGCTCAACCAAAATCTCGCAAACAACGTGCACAGAATAGATTACAAAATAAAACACGCAGACTAAGAAATCGCCAAGTGACCGGTGTTTATGATCCTGATAGGCTGTCTAAACCTGTCAGTGTTCACAAACAAATCAGAGACAAAAAGAGATTAGCCCGTGAACGTGATAGTCAGTTGAACGGAAGACTTGTAGAGATGGATCGTTCAGACGAAATTAATGACCTTGAACACTCTATCTTACGTACCCGTCGTGGTGGAGGACGGTGCGTTAACTCAATACAGGAGAGTGTGCGTCGATATCAGAGTGAGCGACGCATGGTTAGACAGCTTCATCAACTCAAGCGTGCCCAGATCTACACAGGTCCCATGCACGACGTAGTCCTTTTCAGCAAGCTGATGGATGTATATAGAAACAACGCTCCACATGATGCCGACAGCACGCTAGATTCACAGGTTCTCGAGGATTGGGAAGGTTACCTCCGAGGTAAGTCATGTGTAGTTATTAATCATGATCGCCATTGTTCCTTTCTGTTTCAGCTTGTAAAGAAGGGTTTTCAAAAGCACATTTGTGAAATCCCTGAAGTTACCTAGATTGCTATATTGAATATAGGGTGCTAGATGATGTGTTAATGGATAGGTCTGTTGCAGCTGTCACTGGCTTGTAATATTTTACATGCTTCTCATTTTTTCAGATAACTTTGAGGATAGAGAGGGTATTTATACCTGAGTGTAGTATGATTTGGAAGTGCTCACTAGAGTTTGACCTCTTGTTGTTTTTTACCTCTCCATATAAGTGTCGCTGTATCAATGCATTACTATTAGAATTTTCAGTCTTCCTTTTATTTTCGTTTAGAAGTCTATTTACATTATTTCTATGCTTGAAAATACAAGTTTAGTGACATAAAGCACAAGAAAAATGCAGTTTCTCCTTTTAAACTTGATACAAATACCACATTGTTACACTTTAAATGACTTACGTTAAATGAACTTCGTGTATACCACTAATATACAACTCATTCTGAATACTGAATTCATCCACCTACGCTAAAATACTTCATGAACATATTTTTATGTGTGGAAATTAAGAACTTTCTTTATGCACCAAAACTACAACAAATTCAATATTCGGCCCCCTTTTGCTTGTTGCAAAACAGAATATTAAATGACTGTTTAAGGGATGGAGATGAAAATGCACACCTGTTGATATGTATGGTTAAGATAATATCTTGTGACATTGCACTGTCTTGTCAAAGAACACCGATCACCTTTACATCGTAACATGGAAATATTTTTTAAAAAATGTCACTTGAGTACCGTATTTGTGTGTGTGTGTTCACATTACCAACATGTAGTGATATATATGATACCAATCTTATCAATTCTATCCTTAAATTTACAAATAAACTTGTATTTACATCTGCTCATCTGTTCATGTACACTTCTGCTTGATTAGCTTCTGGCTTAGTTCTCTCTGCATGTGCATGTAAAATTCTAGCTTTTTATATTGTAATGATGTTGTATAATATTATGACTATTGTATAATCAGTAATACTGACACATCATATAGGAAACAGTAAGTACATTGATGTTATGGCGTTTAACACCCAGGTAAAACCTGTTACCTGAACATTTTGCTTACTTCCATATCTACCTACTGTCTCCCCTTGGAATTCTGTCAGTAACATGTAAACCTTCCATTAACCTCCCCGTAATATGAAGAATTCTTGTTTTGACATCATTAACAGATCAACTCCAGTTTGTTTCACATTTCTACGAAGATGATAGGACCGGACTACGATCTGCAACCAACACAGTCAGGGTAGGTAACTTTTTGTATCCGTATTTCTGCACATCACTATTGCTATAACATTCACAGTAGATCGTCACTTGTTATAAGTATCACAGAAATTTCACAGCAGTTGTTGATATATCTTGTCCATATCAGTTCACGTTTGACAGTGGTGGATTAAGGGAGATATTCGACCATTGAATTAAATTGCCATAAGAAATGTTTTCTACCAGGCTTAAAGAATGATAGAGAGGATGTGTAACATTGCCTCCTAACCTCTTCAAAAATCTTGGATCCACCACTTCTGCATATCACAATAATGTATCACGTGTTGTAAGTGTTGTATCTATAAACAGTTGATACATTGGACATGATTATGCTAATCTTCATACTGATAATTTGATGCAGGGACATGTTTTATCACTACCTTGATAAGTGATAGTTTTGATCAAAATTGTATTTTTTCTACTATCAAGACACAACCATCTAGATCGGAGAAATCGGCAAACTCTGCCAAACGTAGTCATGTGGACAACAGATATGCTGAATTAAGATTTAAACAGGTAATAATCGTTTTTATTGGCGTCGACTCCTGTACGTCTACATGTCTTTATAACCTATCAGATGACCATGATATCACCTTCTACTGATCTTAATATCTTTTGATATACACACGAAAAAGGACACGGTAATTGTGCAAGAATTGGCAAAGTAATATTTAAAACAATAACTCTGGAAGTGTTTTTTCTGTCAGTTCTGGAAGTATTTTAAGAAAAATTCATTTTATAATTAAGAAATATTTCCCTTCAAAGTTGCTGTCATATGCAGATTCAATATTTTTACACATGCGTATAACTTGATCCCACTGAAATGTTTGATCTGAAATTGTACTGAACAATACTTGAAAGTAAAGAAACAGACACTAGATGTTTTAAGTCATTGATATCAATCTAATGACAAGATGTAAATTGTAGCATGAGAAGCTTTTTGTATACTGCACAATTCACATGCATTACCAGCATTACTAACATTTTAGCCAACATGTCCATGTACAAATCTTGGTGTTGATGATTAAATTTCTAAACGTTCCATGGTTCTGAGAAAATACCAACAAAGAGACTGAGTGAGAGATCATGTGTATCCATCAAGATTTTACTAATGCTATTTTGCCATTTTTTGCTTTCTTTGCTTGAAAAGAAAATTATTCTTAACATTATTACAATGCAAATTTCAAACGTAAACATCGTGATTACGTCACAAAAGAGTGTAATATTTTGATAAGGAAAAATGGGTTTGATTTAGGACTTTGAAATGGCTGAACGAGAATCAATAGAAGACAGAATGAAGGAGGCGGCAAAGAAAACAGACGAGTCGTTAAAGTCTGTACACAGCAAGACTTCAGACAGTCTCACTGAAGCTAAGAAAGTGAATGACCAGCTCCAGAACGATTTCCGCCGAGACGTTACGGAACGTCTCAAGTCTGGCAATTCAACTAAGAAGGAACGCCAGTGGCTCCTCCAGGAGTCCCTGTATGTATTCTCGCAATACTCTAACAATGATACACCATCAATATGTTTTATCAGTTTAACACAGGTCACATCTGGCTTTATTTTTCATGTATCCATTTTTAACTGACCTGGCAGTCATCACTGTAAATGATAAATATGGCAGATTTTTACCACAAGAGAAAAAAGGATCTCTAAATGTTGAAATTTCTTACCACTCATACATAATCTTTAAAATACCCTTTCTAAAGTAGAAAGTATTGAAAGCATACTGTGATATGTTTCAAATAAATAATTGGGTTTTTGCAACTCCAGATCGACTACATCAAATCAGATTTCAGTAGTCAGCTACATATATGTTGTATATACCTTTTCTGTTTACCTGTAGGAGTGATGAAGCCCAGTCCCAGGCTGAAAGTGCTGAGAAGGAAAGAAGGGAGAAATATAAGGAATGGCATAAAAAGAAGAACGAGGAGCTGAGGCGGAAACTTCTAAAGGTCTACGGACCTGATCAGAACTACTCGGACAGTAAGTTCTATGTTTTAACGATCTGCTTTGTATTGTTTGCAGTAAATTCTAGGATAATTTTGGACATTATCATTTCGAACACTATTGTAAGATAAAACGATGGTTAGTAAAAGTCTCACGTAAATAAATGTTATCTTTTTGGTTAAGTTTGATGGTGATGAGTTCTTTGACAAGAGATAGCAATTAGTTTCATCATCAAGAAGGGACCAAATTGATAACCTATTTAGCACATGCCGAATAATTTGTCAATCAATGACTGAAGATGGTTGATGGAATAATTTAGTAGGATTGTGTAGATAATGTTATTTTTCATGATTATGATCATTTCGTGGAAACATTTGAGAACGTACCCTTACTTAGATGGATCAAGGTTTATATGACGGGTGTCGTTGATGAAGCAGACACTTACACTTCTGGAACACCTGGTCTTATGCGCCTTGTGCTTTTTCCGGAGTCACCGTGTAAATCTTTCTTTTGTTCATGTTTTGCCCTAGTGTTATTGACTTGGAGTTTTGATTATGATTGTGTTGATATTTTGGTGTTCTATGATGTAAATATGGTGATGTGACCAGGAATGTCTGATGTAGATATGATAACATGGCTAGGAATTTCTTATATAGTAATGGTGATGTGACCACGGATTTCTGATATAGATATGATGACATGGCTTGGAATTTCTTATATAGTAATGGTGGAATTCTGATATGGATATGATGGTGTGACCAGGATTATCTGATATAGATGTGGTGATATGAGCAGGATTTTCAAGTGTAAATTTGGTGACGTGGCCAGGAATTTCATACATAGATGTCGAAATTTGACGATAATTCTCTCTCTGATAGAGGTATAGTGTGAGAAGGTCTGTTTCATGTTGATAGGTGATGTGACTGATATATCTACATCATGTATGTTGCTAATAAGATCAGGAGTTCCTTATGTAGATGTGTTGATGTGATTGGGATTTTCAGATGAAGATATGATGATTTGGGCAGGATTTTGGCATTGTGAACAATTTTTCACACTTTTAATTATTATCATATTTTCTTTTAGTTAAAAATAGCAAAGCCCACTCTTTTAAGTCATCTACGCCGCGGATCGCATATACATCAACACCACGACCCAAGTCCCAGATAACGATGACCAGTGGGGGTATGTCTCAAGCCCAGTACGGTATGGATCGAGAGATCACCGTCCAGATGACAGAGTACGGCATGCGGAGGGTAAAGAAAGATCCAGATTATCCATTCGGTATGCATGCATTTAGCTGCTTATTAACAGCATGAATTATTGGATGTGTCTGTTTCAAATATTACAGTTAAAATGGTAGAGAAGTAGGATGAAACACTTAGATGTATTCTGAAGTTGATTTGGGGTAATGACAATAATTATATACTGATGTCTTGACTACTATTTTGATTAAAGGAAATTAGTTACTATAGTTCAAATATATGTTTCAGCTGAAAGGAAATAAAAATGTTTTTTTTTTCTATCAGGTTAGACATACAGTGTATATATGATCTATTTCACTTACGTCACCTCCAGACAGAGCTTATATAGGCTCTCCCTATTAACTAAATTTGTATTACATTTTTTGTCAATAAAATTTGTTGAAATGAAAAGACAGTGCATGGGATCATGAAACAGCCTTAATGTATGCAGGCACAAATTTCATTTTGAAGAAAAATAAGTCTTGGAAACTAAACCAAATGAAAATTTAACACCAATTAGAAATGTGTTTAAGAATTAGAGTTTTTTCCTTGGAAAAAATATGGAAAAAAACAAAATAATACACAAAAATGAAAAAAAAAACCAAAGTATCGTCAAAACCATAATACAAATGCAGAATTGGTGAAATGAAGGCAAGAGTTGAACAAAATAAGTATTTAGAACAGGACAGGAAAAATTGAAAGGAGAATAAGATCAGGTGTTCCAAAAGGTACACGTTTTCTGTTTTGTCAATGACACCAGCCATATTGAGGGCATGTTAAAGTTGATGTGTGTGCATGTAAGATCATTGTTTCAGGATACATAGGTATGGCAGGACAACAGATAGTTTATGCTATTGCGATTATGTAGTCTTTGAAACAGACTGTCCACTGCTAAATAGATTTGTATTCTTCATATATTCTGATTTTGGGTGCCATTATAAAGTTAAACAAAATGTTTTCTGGTTTACTTCCGTGTACGTTCATTCTATTGATTAAATCATTTTAAAAAGTGCTCATTTTTGACAAAAGACTATAAATCAAGAATCTGAAGAATACAAAATCGGTGATCGGTTATGAATATTTATCAATCAACATATATTTTCATTACGATATGCTATATCAAGCTTTATTTCGGCAAAGATATGTATCAAATTAACAGATATTAAGTCTTCTTAACAGGATACGGAATATTGCTATCCTGTGCATCATACAGTCTAGATCCTAGAATCCTAATTACCATTTTTGAGATTGTAAATTTGAATTTTTTTTTGTAGAGCATGAATGACATGAAGAAGAATGATCAAAATACAGATGTTTATGTTTACGTAACTTTGTCATTTGTTTTTACAATATTCAAACAATACATATATATACTTTAATATTAATTGGAAGTCAGAGATTTTTGGAAATACAATCCACTAATCAGTGAGATACTGTTAAAATGAGATTTAATATACACACTTGATATATATATATAACAGTCACACACTATCAATGCATGGATCACATGTTTATGCACTTACGTCAACAGGTAACAAGGTGAAGGCCAGAAAAGGGCTCATGCATAACGGCTTGTTGGAGCAAGGTAGACAGGAGGGACACCTCCTTCAATCAGCATGACATTCGGGCGCTGCTCTTGTCTCTTGTTTATGATACTTGCTCTACACCCATAAACTGGCTTCCAATGTTTTTAGAGTCTGCACCTTCAATAATTGATTACTGTCGATTTCAAAAGTAACTTCTAAAAATTTTTTAAATAGATATTTTGATATTTGAGAAGAAAGTAATGCACTGTCATTTGTTGAGAATTCTAAATGTGTTAGAAACATACGAAGACAATGATGGTTTGATATGAAAACCAATGTGATGAGTAAAGAGACTGTTAATTGTTGAGTGTGCAGACAACTACTTTCTAATGTTGTTCTATAGCTCTTGGATGGAGACTCTTGATAAATCACTCTGCAATGTTACCTTTGTCGAAACGTATTGTCCTGAGTTCGATTAACTGAGTTAAAAATATAGTTTTTGAGACCGTTAATGAGAACGAGATATCACATATGCTCTTGTTTGATTTACAGGTGTAAAGCAAACCGTCCCCGAACCGATATCAAATTACTATCCTGTCTTACCTCAATAAAGTGTTTTACTAAGGTTTTCAATATGATTAAATTACGAAAATTGCTTCTGACCGAGATAAAATTCGTGTGGAGGGTGACTTTTCATGCAATTCAACTTCATTCTTTATTTTCAAGCTTGGATACCAGTGCAAAATTTTTAGAGTTTAATTTATCTTGAAGCAAATTCTACTATTGAAATCTTGCTTGTTAGACATCATATACTGCAATGCTCTAACCAGATATATTTATGTCTGCTTACTAGAAATTAATATTCCACAAGCCTATTGTATCTGATAGTGTACACTGCAATGGAAGTATAAACATCACTAAACAATTTTAGTAATCATGACCTATTTAAACTTATATCCTTAGGAATATTAATTGAAAAAGCATACTAAACATCCATATGTAATGTTTAGCAAATGCAGAGGATATCAAATCTTAGTTAGATTCACAGAATATCGGTAATGAGGAAATATTAATTTATGATTGCATATTAATTTCAAAATATATTTGTTCTGAGAAAGTTATGGACAATTTTATTGAATATTTATAACATTCATTCTCCCTTTTCATTGTAGAAATTTCATATTCTGTACTACCTACAGTGCTTTCAGCTGCAGTACTGTCCAGTTGCATCTTTTCTTGTCCAATAACTCTATATTCTTGGTCGACTTTGACCAATCTGTATTCCTGCCCAATTATGATCCTCTGTATCATCTTTGTCTTTGTAGATCATAGTGAAGGTATGTAGAATGGTGAACTGGTTACGCGCTGATATCCTGCATGTGTAGACAACTAACCATAACAAAACAGTTAGGTTACCCAGCTTGTTAACAAATTAATCATGTGATTCTCCAGTGATTAACACCCTATTAATTACTGATGAAGATAGGTTAAATGTTAATGCTGGTTTTACTCAGATATTATTATCTACAGTTATATGAGACATTACATACGAGTAATGGATTAATTTTATCACATCTTTGATATCATGTTCATTGTTAAATCTTTATCGTAATTGTAAAATAGCATCTAAACTCGATTTGGAAACGCTCCTTTGTACTTCAATGCCATGGTTTTGAGGTCGGATTTTGGTTTTACTTCCTTGTCTTGGAAAACAGCAGTAATGCCTTTACTTATCTTCAATGTTGTGAACAATTTACTACTTTAGATTTGTAAAATATCTCTTGTATGCTCAAATTATTTGTCTGGTCACCAATAGGACCAATACTGAGTAAAAACCTATTTATTGTTTGTTGTTTTAATATAACTGCTGGTATCCTCAAGTTAGAAATGCACTAACATTTATCATCCTGAAACAGTGTGGTGAAAGAATTACTATTGATAAAAAAAGAGATAATTCTAATTGTAGGACTATACTTCATTAAAAGTTAACAAAATGTTGTATGAACCCAGTAATTAGTACATTATTTGGTGCATGCTTGCTTGATTTTGATGCAATAATTGAATATGTAAAATCTGCTATTTGTATGATGCTTTATTTCCAGCAAATGTATGATTACATATCATTAATGTGTTATTATTCACAAAGTATAATGAATGAATTAAAAGCTTGTCATTTTGACCGTAATTGATACATATATCATGCAATAACATACTTGATATTTCTATCAGATAATACGTGGATAAGCAAACGGTGTAACAATATGGTACCTATTAGCATGTAGTCAGTATTTCCACTAATTAACATATTGATGGTATGTATATTCACTGATGACATTTTGATGAGGTTCCGAAATGACTGACAATTTTGATGAGGTTCCGAAATGACTGACAATTTTGATGAGGTTCCGAAATGACTGACAATTTTGATGAGGTTCGTTTCTGATGACGTTCCGAATTTTTGATGAGGTTCTGACAAATTTTGATGACATTCTGAATTGACTGACAATTTTGATGTTCCAAAATGACAATTTTGACAATTTTTGATGAGGTTCCAAAATGACTGACAATTTTGATGAGGTTCCGAAATGACTGACAATTTTGTACTGTGTGTATTGACCCTTTTGAAACTTTAAATGAAGATATACATGATACATATATAATATCATTGGCCATGTCTTAAATTTTCATAAACATTCGGAACAAAATTGCATGGTTTTCACTTGGATATTTCATAAAATGTTAACCTTTTGGGGGTATATTTCAATGTAAGTATTACAAATGATGTTTTCCAGTGAAGTGTTTTAGCTTTAAAATTGTTATTTTATTATTTCAAATGCTGTCATTTCATTTTATCAAATTAAATTCTGTAACATAGAAAATAAAAGTGAATATTGTGACTTCTCTGACAATGTATACTGGGAAATACCTTTAATTACATGCACACGAACAAAAGGGGGAAATCAAACCGTTTGTGTGACCACTTATTGTCCTGATATTTGAATGTTCTCACAATATATATGTGTATTTGTTATATGGCTATCTATTTCTTTTACCAGGTTAATGCGATGTGTTCAGCATCGCTTTTAGTTTCCTATTGTGATATGTTTGATATTGGCGTTTATTATCATAATGAATTTTATAATTGTTTTTATTGTTTTATAGAAAATACTTGATGCTATTTTTTAATTTCATGTTGAGTATTGGTATTGTAGATGCATTGCATGGCGAGCTTCTGCACAAAAACAGAGGTTATCTCCCTTCATAAATAAGACTTGATATTTGAAATAAGGGGAGGCAACTTCATTTCATTATCATATCATCAAATCATAACTGCAGTAATCAGATATATAATTATGTAAACTCTGTTTTGTATTGTCAATTTGCATATATATAAACCTGTTCCATTAATTGCATTGTTTTGCAGAATATTTTTGCATTTGTTTTTAGTTTTTTTATGATTATTAATATCTTGCTTCCCCCTGTCTTAACCTTATCCCTTTGCTAACAATTTCATTATTATGATGATGTTTAACTGTGAACACACACATCTCTCACAGGTTGATCATAGGAACTTAGTTTACTGAGCAATGTTATCAAATTAGAGGTAACAACATCACAAGCAAGAAATGAGGCCATATTTTTGTCATAGTTGCAATAATTGATGCATTGATATGAGACACCCTGGTTTTATAACTGTTAGTTTTATATTGTGAAATGTTCATAACGGTGTGGAAATCTAGTCATTTCAATATATTTGTTTTAAAGTAAATACTAAAACAGACAAATTAGCAAAGAACAAAATAATACACAAGTTGTTGTTATATCATGTTATTGTGGTTATACTTGCCAAGTTGGAGCTTCAAAAGTTGACAGATGTACTTCATTATTCTGTTTTTTGTTTTAGCCAACTGGACACCGAAGTTTGATGGTTCTCTAAGACCTCGGGCGGGACTTGTGTTCGTGGAACCAGAAGTATACTGTGAGGCATTAAAAGAGGAACATAGAATGAAGAAGGCTTATTCTATAGCGGCACGTAGTAGTGGAAATGTAACAATGGATGATGAACGTTTGTTGGGTCCAGTGTCTTCATGACCAACGCCATAGTTAGACATATTATAATTTATTCAAACTGGAACTATTAAGGAGATCCATTTGTATGGACAAACTGATAAATTGGGGACTACAGGAAAAGTGATTATTTATGTAAGCCAAAACAAGAAAGGAAGAGTGTGTACCTTTCGGAAACATTCCAATACGGACAGGAAATATAATTTGACCTTGGACACTGACTCATTGACCATCCTTTACATTATGTACTAGGAAATGTGATAAGATGTACACAATATGTACTCATATATATTGTCACAATATGATCACTTTATGATTGTTTATGTGAATTTAATGGATGTTTTGTATATTTTGAAAATCAGTATTTCCACAAGTTTTCTTCTGGAAAAGACCTGACTGATATCCTATTGTTTTTATTGATTTGACCATGTTTGATTTTTATTTATTGTAAAAGTTTTCGTATTTCATTTGAACTATTTTGTTATGTGTGATGCTTATATAAATTGATTTGAAATATTTGAAACTGCAACATGAATTTGTCCGTCCACTTCACCAATATCCATGTTACTTATTTGTAAGGGTATTGATATAGTTGTTGATATTTAAATATCTTATAGATTTCTTTGTAAAAGGCACCATTCCTTTACATTGAACCGTTATAAGTAAGCTGTGTGTCGGCTTATTTAAAATACTTTTTAAGCAGTAAAACAACATCACCAGTGCTGATTGTAATGACCAAGGTTATGTTATCCATGTTAATTGATTTAAAAAAAATTTAAAACACAATTATTACCTATTTTCTTTTTAAAAGCTATTAGGGAGATTAAGATGAAAGCACATGTTTGTGAGTTGAGGAAATCTTATATATAATCTAATATTTATGAAAGTGGTCCTGTAATATATTCATTATATCAATATAACCTTTCTGAATTCTAGAAATCAGTTTTCAACTATAAATGTTAATGTTCGCCAATGTTCCTGTTTGTGTGAATGTTTTGTGAAATTGAAGGGGTTTTGGATGATCAGGTTCTGAACATTTTATGAAAGTTTTATGGTGAGGATGGTTGTGAACATACCCATGCTGTTGTATACCTGGTTTTTGGTGCCATATTAGTTCAACATATATCTCTTACCAAAAGTGATCTGATCATCTCTGCAAAACTTGCATGAAAAATATGTTTGAAATGTTATCTTTTTCATTACATGTGGAATTGTAAAAAATTAAGGACATGGACAATTTATTATAAGAATTCTGTCTCACAAATTGAACTACTGTCTTACTTGGGTTTACATTTCTACTTTGGTCCTGTGAAGTAATTGAGTTATGTCATTATCTTGATGCGTTAGTCTGTATAATTTAAAATACTGTATTTTATTGTCGGAGCTTGGTACTATCATTTATACATTAAACTACCAATAGGTGCATTAGCATGTATCTTAAGTGATATACAAATTAACCAGTAGAAGTAATATTGTCGATTTTAGAATAAAGAATGTGCAAGTGCTTTTGAAAAATATTTTAATAATTACACTCATAAACCTGTTTATTCGGCTACTCAGTGTTTATGTGTTAATGTATCCATTGTTGCCTCATATGGACCAAAATTTTTTAATAAAGAAACTTAATCTAAATGTATTTATACATAGATGATGACAAAATACACATAATCGTTGGTTTTAATCAATAATCAATTGGAGAGTTAGTGCTAAGAAAATTGTGTTAGTTATTTTGACAACATATGTTCTAATACCTGGAGATCCTAACAGTTTTAAAACCTTGTATTGTCACTAACATTTGTTATGAAATAAATCTTCTCCTTTTACAAGCGACAGCCTATTTACTTTCCCGAGTCACTTTAATGAGGGAACAAATTTTATTAATGGTAGAAGATTAAACATATGCATTATAATGGAGTCCTCATGCTTTGTATGTAAAAGTTTTGTGTTTGTAATTGCCACAGCTCCCGTCGTTTAAAATTGCTCATGATCGCTTTTGTATATAATCATACTGCCAGACTGGTGGAGAGTTCGATTTGTACGGAGTCCCCTAAATCTCTTTTATAAACCTCATTTCTTTTTTGAAAGATGTAATGATTAAGGATCTAAAAATAATCAATAACCACTCGAGGTAGCTGGTAATGTATCTTCATATTCAAGGCACATGAATGTTAGGTGAGAGTAAATCACCATCATTTATTGATGGAAGTCTTGTGCAAAAGTATGTAGTGAAAGTTATCAATTTACTTATACCAACATATTATTCAAGACAATTGTAATACTGTTTGATATGTTAGCACTGGTTCGTCAGCTGATCGTACCTTTAAAACAAACAGGAACTAATATCAAGGGAGAAAACTCTATATTATAAAATATCTTCACCTTGGCAGATTTCAAACATAATTATACAGTGGATGACACATACTTACTTTAGATTTTGAAAATTGTTGATGGTAATTATTTTTTAAGTTAAATTATTTTTCATGTGATAAGAACAATTGTGATATAAAAATGACGTTTTTAATATATTTTATCAAATATCTGTGATAAATATTTTCACTTCTGTATGCATAATACTGAATTAATACAACGGTAGACAGTACATGTGTTACTGGGTTAGTATGAATAAAAATATCATTAAAGCAGGTGTTTTGTTGTGTGTTTTACCTTTAGGTTGATGTTAGATAGAATTCCATATCATATACTGTACTTCTGTCCCGATGGAGGAAGGAAATTAACTGACATTTACTTATATACCCCTTCCAAGCGCTTGATATTATTTCATTTCAAAACCTTGTTGGGGGTCATTCAAAATGGCTATAATTTGTTGTCCTCTTTTTGTCCTCGTATTATTCTGCATTAACTTTTAGTCTGTTCATTAAAGTCTCACAAGGTCAACATTGTTGACAACAAGACCACCCGCTAATGCAAGTGTTTAATTGTGCTTAAAATACAGACTACTGTTCCATGAATGTAGCAAAAAAATATGTATCATGAATTTCATTGTTTGTAACGACATGCGATAAGTCCACAGGAAATCAGCGATAAAAACCTGATTTAAGTTTATAGGCTTGACTTGCATCTGTACTGTCCATTAATGTTGATTCTTATTAAACACCACTTGACCGATAAAAGTCTGACAATTTGAATGCCGGGTTATTTTTAAGGCAGAGTTATCAGTAACTAGGACCTTATTGTAAATTTAGCTGGAATATTCTTATTTTCTGCAGACCTCCATACATTTGGATAAATAGCTCTAAAATGACTAAAATCGTTACTATTTTTCACTGTTATACATTTATGTCAATATTTCAGACTTGTATGACCTTCATTATAACTTCTTAATATAATTTCACCATCTTCATGATAGAATTTTAATACAGTTGTGCTGGTTACACATGTCCTTTACTTGGCCAAATGAAACTACTTCATCTTTCCAGCTTTAACATCTTAAAACCATAAGTATCAATACTACAGGTCACACAAAACCCACAAATATCAATACTACAGGTCACACAAAACCACAAATATCAATACTACAGGTCACACAAAACCCACAAATATCAATACTACAGGTCAGGTCACACAAAACCCACAAATATCAATACTACAGGTCACACAAAACCCACAAATATCAATACTACAGGTCACACAAAACCCACAAATATCAATACTACAGGTCACACAAAACCCACAAATATCAATACTACAGGTCACACAAAACCCACAAATATCAATACTACAGGTCACACAAAACCCACAAATATCAATACTACAGGTCACACAAAACCACAAATATCAATACTACAGGTCAGGTCACACAAAACCACAAATATCAATACTACAGGTCACACAAAACCCACAAATATCAATACTACAGGTCACACAAATATTAATACTACAGGTCACACAAAACCCACAAATATCAATACTACAGGTCACACAAAACCACAAATATCAATACTACAGGTCAGGTCACACAAAACCACAAATATCAATACTACAGGTCACACAAAACCCACAAATATCAATACTACAGGTCACACAAAAATTAATACTACAGGTCACACAAAACCCACAAATATCAATACTACAGGTCACACAAAACCCACAAATATCAATACTTCAGGTCACAAAACCACAAATATCAATACTACAGGTCAGGTCACACAAAACCACAAATATCAATACTACAGGTCACACAAAACCCACAAATATCAATACTATCACACAAAAATTAATACTACAGGTCACACAAAACCCACAAATATCAATACTACAGGTCACACAAAACCCACAAATATCAATACTACAGGTCACACACAAACCACAAATATCAAATATCACACAAAACCCACAAATACTACTACAGGTCACACAAATATTAATACTACAGGTCACACAAAACCCACAAATATCAATACTACAGGTCACACAAAACCCACAAATATCAATACTTCAGGTCAGGTCACAACAAAACCCACAAATATCAATACTACACAAACAAAACCCACAAATATCAATACTTCAGCTCACACAAAACCATCAAATATCTATTCTACAGGTCACACAAAACCCACAAATATCAATACTACAGGTCACACAAAACCCACAAATATCAATACTACAGGTCACACAAAACCCACAAATATCAATACTACAGGTCAGGTCACACAAAACCCACAAATATCAATACTACAGGTCACACAAAACCCACAAATATCAATACTACAGGTCAGGTCACACAAAACCCACAAATATCAATACTACAGGTCACACAAAACCACAAATATCAATACTACAGGTCAGGTCACACAAAACCACACAAAACCACAAATATCAATACTACAGGTCACACAAAACCCACAAATATCAATACTACAGGTCACACAAAACCCACAAATATCAATACTACAGGTCAGGTCACACAAAACCCACAAATATCAATACTACAGGTCACACAAAACCCACAAATATCAATACTACAGGTCACACAAAACCCACAAATATCAATACTACAGGTCACACAAAACCCACAAATATCAATACTACAGGTCACACAAAACCCACAAATATCAATACTACAGGTCAGGTCACACAAAACCCACAAATATCAATACTACAGGTCACACAAAACCCACAAATATCAATACTACAGGTCACACAAAACCACAAATATCAATACTACAGGTCACACAAAACCCACAAATATCAATACTACAGGTCACACAAAACCACAAATATCAATACTACAGGTCACACAAAACCACAAATATCAATACTACAGGTCAGGTCACACAAAACCACAAATATCAATACTACAGGTCACACAAAACC